GTACCAACCTCCCTGCTGTTTTTGGTGGTGTTGACCTTTCAGAAAAAAACACACAGAGCCACAGTGCTGGCTGCCAGGGATTGCCACCACCCAAAGAGCCCAGATTAGAAAAGACAGCAGGCTTGAAGCAATGACAGGGAAGACAGATGAACCAACCATTTTGTTCTGTTTTGTTTCTAGTGAATCTTCTGTTCATGTCAATATTAATTTAAATGCTGACATGTTGCTTCTAGAGAATGTTCTACTAATAAGTAAAGGTTTAATGGTGGTTTTAAAAAAGTGCTGTTCTAGCACTTGTAACAGAACCAAGCAAACTCTGCCTTTTATCAGATTTACCTGTTACTTACTTGCTTCTTTCTTTAGATTGTGAGCTCCTGGCTCCAGGGCCACATTTTATTCATCTATATCCTTTACAGTGTTTATTTAGCACAATGATTTGCACGTTGCAGCTGCTCAATAAAATGCTTATTGAACTGGCTCTTGTCAATATACCTGTGTTTTTATTTTGAAACACAACAGCAGGAAAGATAAAGCAATGAAATGAATCTTTGTAGTTTTTGATAAGTAACGCCGCGGCTCAGTGGTCATGATTTACAAACAGCGCCACATCACAGTTATATCACAGGAAGTTGTGTCCTGAGAAACTAACAAAATAACATCAAATCTAAAACACAAGAAAAGGAATGCTTTCTGTTGTTATTCTTGTACATTTTTCTTTCTCTTTAGAGGTTTATGTTCTATTGACTCTAAGTGAATAATCATGTTACTGGAAATAAAATCATTATAGATATATATCTAAGTAATTTTGCCAAAGGATATTACATTCTAAGTTTATCACTCTTACTATCTGATAATATGACATATTTGAAATTCTTTACAAAGTGGTACCAAAGACCCAGAGAACACAATGTTTGGGATAATTCTGGAAACACTAGGCACTCAGAAACCCCATGAACCAAGCTTTTCAAATTTAAATCCCTGTCCTTTGCAGTAGCTGCCTGCTCAAATGGGCAGAAGGCTCTTTTAGTGAAATGATTAAATCAGGTAGATCACATACAGACTTCCAGGACTCTCTCAATGTTTTGAATCTGTTAAACAGAGAGAGCAGCGGAGAGCTGTTATGTAACTTCACCGACCATGATGGTGAAACGCTTGGATGTGACACTCTCTACCTTAGCAGTTGAGTTCACTTCATCAGCATGATCACAAACCACTAGTATCATTTATTAACCCCAGAAACATTGAGGAAGGGTCTATATTCTGTTCATCAGTGTTCAGGCTCTGGTGACACAAACATCTGGTTTCTGCTTTCAACAAGGACTAGGGCAGGCACAAGGTGAAGAGAAAAATGCAGTGGGGTGCTATGAATAAGGAAGTAATGTTCTAGTTGAGTCCAACAATATATAGGCTTCTGTTAGATGAACAAGGACAGAAAGGGTGATCCACGGTAAGGGACAAGGAGGAAGAAAAGATGGAAGAATGACCTAGAGTTATTCCTATAGCTGGAGGTTTGGGCAATGCTGGGAGGGTGGGCAGGGTGAATCTAAAGGAATTCTGGAGAGCTAATGGGAGGAATGCAGAGCCTTGTACCATGAGATAGGCAATAGGGATATATTGAAAGGTTTTCATCAGGAAATAACACGACTCATTCTGATTTAAAAAATCTCTAGGGTATTAGTAAGGAGAATGAGCTGAAGGAAAGTAAGATGATTGGTGATAAGATTAGGAAAAAATTAGTAATAACTTTGGTGAACAATGAGACATGCCTGAATTTACTCAGTGACCATGGAGAGAGTAAGATGGAGATCCCCTAGCAATACCTATATAATCTTTAATTAGCAGCTGGTAGATGTAAACTTTTGGTTTTGAATGGGGATCTGGAGTAGATATTACTATAGATGTCAGAGATGAGAGAAAGAGATCAGTCTAGAATGGTGAGTCCCTGATTTCTGTCTTGATAACAATAAGATGAAAGTTGCTGGAAAATATAGGGCAATATGAGGATATGGGGAGAAAGATGATCAAGTTTTGTCCCAAATGGAAAATTCTGTGTTTGTAGGGTCTGTGGAACACCTATGTAGAGATGTTTCATGGGTAGCTAGACATGTGGGTTGAAAACAAATCTGGGCCAGGTACAAATATTCAGTGGTCATAATGGCGGTAGAAGATGCCAAGAAGCATATGAGTTTGCCCAGTGAGGGGAAAAACAAACAAACAAACAAACAAAAACAGGTCCAGAAACTTATTACTTGGTTAATTGACTGAATTAATTCAAATTGATTGTTGTCTTGAAAATATAATGCATCTACAATACCCTACAATATAAACCCTACATAATCCATAGTTTTTCCCATCCCTGTCCCATCAATTGTGGGCATGGGCACTATTTCTCCTGCAAGACCTTAGGAGTGAGGACTTGAGCATCTGAAAATGTAGTTCTCTGAGAGGTAACTACAAACTATTTGAACAAAGCAGAAGCAGTAGATGTGTCTGCCTGAACACACACAGTGAGGATTTGAATTTGGTATACATAAAAAAGGAAGGAGAACATAGTGACTTTATTACTACTACACAATTACAAAATAGTTCTGAAACTTTCACTCCAAGAAACCTCAAAAAAATATAAGGAACTGTCATGACATTGTATCCCACAGTCCTAATGGTTTGACGTGATCACTGTCAAAAGTGCTTCCAATATTTTGGAAAACAAAAAATAAATTTTAAACCTAAACTGCCAAATTAAAAGCATCACCCTGTAAAAAGAAAATGACACAAAACTAAATACGAAGAGTATCATTAACCAAAAGGAACTGACACTAACTCAGAGGTTCTCACTTGAAGTTGGGGGGTAGTACTTAAAAAGAATCCAATACCTGGCTCCCCACCCACAGGCAAGTACATCACAGGCAAGGGTAGTGAGATTGGGCCTCAGTACTATTTCTAGGGCTCCCCAGGTGACTCTCCTGTACAGCCAGAATTTAGAACCCTTGGACTCAGTACACAGGCAGAAGAAGAGAAAGGAAAAGAAACTAGTCTGACATGGCAGAGAGGACCTTAGAAGCCATATTGCACTTATGATGACTATCAGAAGCTCATGGGAAGGACCCAAAATGTTCTGTTGACCTATGCGTGCTACTGAGCAAACATTCATTAAAACAGTGTACACAACTTTCACTTGTGATTATTGTAAGGGAAAAGGACTCAAGAGAAAAGCAACACATATGATGAAAGGGAATGAAAAATGCAAACTATATTACGAAATAATTGTAGAACTTTGGACTACATTAAGTTCAAAAGAAAACATGAAGCCATAACTCAACAACTATTTTTAAAATTATGAAAAAGTCTTGTGGTGTCATATGGATGCAGGTTATATTAGCTATTTTCAGAAACACTATTTGACAATATTTCTCTGTAGATATTTCACACAGTACTAACAATTATTAAATGTAAGTATATGCATCTTAAAGAAAAAAATTCAGACTTACAAGAAACTTCTCAGTTTATAAGTTTACCCATTGAATATTCTTTTTGATGACTTTTTTGTGGGTTTCTTGAAATAGGGTTTCACAACCAATTACAACACAAACCATATGCACCCACTCTTCTTCCTTCTTTGCCAGCTAGGACACTAAATGTTCTCTGACATTTGCAGCCCGGTTTTTAGCACCAGACAATACATTTACTGCAGTATAAACCCAGAGGTCAGCAAAGGAAATCAATCTCTCTTTCATGGCACCTGACAGGTTCAAAATGCTGTAGAGAGATTGAACGTATTGGCATTTTCACTTGGGAATTTTGTCCAACCTGTACTTAGTTAACTGAGAACAGAACAGCCTGTCATCAAACAGTCTCACATCACTTTGTACACTTCCTGGCACATTTCCCTCCTAGTGGTAGAGTTTATTATATATGTCTTTCTTACCTTCTGCTGTTATAATATAATATAATATAATATAATATAATATAATATAATATAATATAATATAAT